ATGACAGTTTTACATTAGTCTTCCCATAAGTATACTTAACTTTTCCTTAAAGATATCTAATTATTTTACCTCTACTCTGGTGGCAAGCTGTCATACTATCTGATCAACCTCAGTGTTAAAGAAAATGCCTATATACCCAAGCTAAATTAATATTTCTTCCAACTACAATTCTGGCCATTACTTCTGCCCACTCCAAATTTTTGTACTGTCTTTCATGTTTTCACACACTGTGATGGATATATCTTAGCATTTGACACACTGTGATGGATATATCTTTTAGCATCTCTCTCTCTTTGGACTAAAAAGTTCTTCCAAAATTTTTACACTTTCAATGAACATATCTACGTATTCTATACTTCAAGTACAGATGCCCAGTACTATATAAAATGACAATGCTACCCTTCTAGCTCTTTGAAAAAAGTTTTTGCTTAGATTTTTTTAAATACATATGTATTCTTTCTGTAACATCTTCAGGCAAGATCTCATTTTTGCTTAAACTAGTGACAGAATCATATTTCCTGAATATATTCAATTTTACTTTATGCCTGTACTACATCTCCTTCTCCACCAGTTTCTCATCTTTTGTGCTGTGAATAGCAGGATTGAAAAAAATCTACTAGAAAAGTAAGGGGGTTTTGCTGTTGTCTTGATTTGCTTTTTATACAGTAGTTTCTTATCCCTGTATTTTAATTGCTGGGTTCATACAGTGGAATAACTTTGAATGTAGAATCTTACTGAATATTTCAAATTTCTACATTTAGGGCTGGTTTGGTTTTGGTTTTTGTTTCTTTTTCTTTTTTTTCCAGTATCAAAGCAAGCCTGGACTATGATCTCAGGGGTGGAAAAATTTCTGCTTTTCCTAACATTGAGAAAGGGGAAAATTGAATTCATTTTTGATCAAGACTGCTACAGCCACTGGAAAGCTGCCCTCGTGATGCAAGTTTTGTTTGGTCTTTAGAGTGGCCAAGATTTCATACAATTTATTTTCTAAGATAGCTGGCAGAATTCTCTGTACATCAGGAACTGGGTGATAGATCACACTGAGCTAGTGCTTTGTCAATAGTTAGAGAGTGAGGTTATAAGGATTTTCAGTGCTGGGCAAGGGAGTGGGTTTGGCTTTAACTCCAGAAAATTACTGCTGATATTTTACCTCTACACACTCTTGATACTGTTCCAATTGGGAAAAATTATGAAGATATATAAAAAAAAAATATTTTGGCAATCTCCACTAACTGTTGGCAACTGCTATTTTTGTGTGTAGTGAAATCTGTTCAGTGCAGAAAACCTTCCTTTTTTATGTGCCCTGACACAGAAGGTGCCGGACGTGACACCTGTGTCCCCACTGAAGTCTACAGGCATTTACCGCTTGCATTTTGTGAGGGCAGAAACATGTTCTTGAAGTGGGTATAATGACAATATAATTTGCTTTTCTTGTCAGTTGTATGCCAGCACAGTGTACTGAATCAGCTCCCCGAAGAGCCAGAGATATCAGAAGTAAAGCTGGTATGGGGGGAGAAATGCAGTTGTGCCCCTGGGACTCAGCAAGGAGTTTAGGAGAAAGGAGTCAATGCTCTGCTCAGCCCCAACAAGCTTGTAGGCTGGCTCAGCCAGTCTTGTCCTGTCACACATGAGGATGGGACATCCTAGCATGAGGCATGTAAAATAGTTCCCTAAGGCTCCAACCATGTCTGATGAGCTCTTTTCTAACGGACAGCACTACTCACAAATTTGCAAATCCAGGTAACAGATCCTAAAACTTTGTGCCTGTATACATCCATGGCTGACAGGAACCCTTCTAGGGATAAAGGATAAACATCTCCACTGATAATGTTTCCAACACTCTCAGTTACAAAGTATTGTTGATTTGTTGGGGAGATGGTACTGCCCTGTAATTGAGATGCTTTTCTTTCTTTTTGCAATATGTATGAGTAGCCCAGATTAATCACAGTTATTTCTCACTATCATGTGGGATCTCACATATGGTTTCTATGTGATCCTGCTGTTAGCCTCAGATTCTAGCTACCAGAAGTTTTCCAGGGACCTTTAGGACTTGTCATTGATGCAAACTCTCCATCTCCAGATTCTTGCAATAATGAAATAAAAATTTGATTGAAATTCTCTCCAGTCAAAAAAGTATTATATTAGTAGGCAAACAGGCACTTCGCAGTAGAGAATGCTCCTAGGCAGGGCGGAACATGAAGGATTCCTTGCTACTTCTGGATTTTTAGACTTTGCAAAGTTGCTTACATGTTGTTGGCCAGAAGGCTGAAGCACCTTGTTTATACATTCAGTGAACAAAAGGAAGTTCTCAGCAAGCTTAAATTCTCAATCTCAGCCTGATTTTCCCAGCAGCTTAATCTTTAACATGTTAATTATTCCTGTCTAAGAATGCAGGATTGTTGTGTGCCATTTTCTTGGAACAAATGAAACAACAGTATCTCAGTTTCTGGACAAGGATCCGTGAAGACTTTTTTCTGGATTCAGTTGTTGCAGTCAATGTCTTTGATGACCTGATCCCCTTGACTCCTGTAACAAGCTCTAAAGGAAACCTCCCAAGGTCCCAAAGTTAACATGAAAATCTCAAGAGTGTGATACCTCACTAGACCAGCACTCCTCAGTCTGTACTCACCACTCAGGTATTTTGCTGCGAAGAAATGAATATAATCATTAAGATCTCAGATGATCTCCTTATACACACAATGATTACATGTGGTTATTTACCTTCCAATTTCTAAGTCAAAAAGAAAAAGAAATTATTAAAAAAAAAAAACAAACAAAAAAAAAAAAGTTATCCTCAGTAGAAATCACTAAGATCTGCCAGAACAGAGTTACTGTAATTTTCAATGACTGTTGTGAAGAGTATGGGGATTTGGGGTAGAGTGGTTTTGGCGGGAAACAAGCTAACTAAAAGTGATTTGCAGTTTGGTTTTCACAGGTGGGAGAAGGGGAGTGAAGAGAATTAGTCTGGATTTACAGAATATTGGTGTTTCTGTTTTGATGTTATTTTTGGATTAGTACCTGGGCAGATACTTTTCCAGTGAATTCTGTTTATGTTGGATAGACTCCACTCTAATAAGAAGGATTCTGACCTCCTGGAAATAAAATTAGCAGGTTTTATTTAGATGAGTCCTGGAGTAAGTAGAAGAGATGGGAGAATGGAGATTTGTCCTAAATTCAGCAACTGAGGAAGCACTCCTGAGACACAGAAGGGTAAAAAATAGAGTTGTTCTGAAAAATAGATTACTTTTTGCCTAACAGTGTATCTATGCAAAAAAAAAAAAAAAAAAAAAAAAAAAAAACCCACAAAAACAACAAACAACACGAAACATAAAAAAACCTGAAAAACAGTCAAGAAAAAGACAATACAAAAATTGAAGTTTGAAATGGTGATTGTAACATACCATAGAATCATACAGTCAATGGATGGTTTGGGTTCGAAGGGACCTTAAGGATCATCTATAGGGGGCTGTGAGAATCATGTATAAGATAGTGAGAGTAAGATTTTCCTAATGATTTTTTTAATCAGATGCCAGGATTTGGACAATAGAGCTGACATTCAGTAGTTAATTCAGAAAATAGAAGAAACATGTCATTGTACGTCAGAGGATATATACAGTGCAAATTAGAGCAGATAATTTGACAGCAGCAAGTGTACAGATAAAACCTATGAATTCTACAAACTCTCTACTCTGAAGGTCTGAAGAAAAAAGAATGAATGATGGATGAAGCAGCCATCATTCCATTCCACATTTCCACTTCTCTGGAATGTCATTCACCGTAGCTCAGCAAGGCTTGGTCTGGTGAGCTACAGCAAAAGCCATGATGGCAAAGTAACCTTTTCAAAACTGTTAATATTTCAGTTATAAAAGGAAAGCAAGACAAGCACAGAAGGTGTGGAAGCAATCTGTGCCTATAGTCAGGTAGGCAGAGTTTATCTCAGACAACAAAACCTTTGGAGAGCTTTGAAGAAGCAGTGTCTGCCTGTCACAGCTCACTTCCAAGTGTTGTCTCTTAACCCACCCCTCATTCTCTGCTCTTCCTTTTTCTCTCTTTCACTTCCCCTATTCTTGGTTAAAACTAAAAGCTAGCATAGTAGAAGCAAACTTATTCAACCTGAGTGACATCATTGTCTTCAGGTACCTGTAAATGGTCTATCTGAAGCTAATGCATTCTTTTCAGTGTGTATATTTTCAGGCAGGTAACCTTGAATTAATTCTAGAGAAAAAGCAGACGGCTATGTAGTTTTCTTACCATATTATAGGGATCTCTAGTTGCTTCACATAAATGCAGATAAATTGCTAAAAGAGGTTTGGTGGAAGAAAGCACTAAATCAGCAAGCAGAAACCAGGTCCTTCAAGAATCCCAAAATCCAGATATAACTTAATTAAAAAAAAAAAAAAAAGAAAAAAAAAAAAAGAAAGAAAGAAAGAATGAATACAAAGAATAATATAACCAGTCTGTTTCCATAAGAGAGCTCAAAGGAAGAATAAAAAGATAGACAGAAGGAATAAACACAGAATAAAATGCAGAATTTAAACGGCGTTCTGGTGGAAGAAATGTTTCTTCTTGATCTGTTGCATGTGTAACAAACTGTTAAAGGCAGCAGTTGGGGAGTTTTGGTATTGCTTTTTGTTGGGTGGTTTTGGTTGTTTTTTTTTTTTGTTTGGTTGGTTTTGGTGTATTTTGGGGATGCGGTGGGTGTCTTTTACCTTCCATGCTTTTTCTGGGGTCTTTCCTAAAAAAGTTGGAATTCCAATGTCAATCACTAAGCAGAAAAGTCTTCAGATTTCTGAAGACAGGACCCAGATTAGCTGTTTGTGGGCAGCCGGAGTAAATTCACACCCCCACCAGACCTCCGTTCTCCTTCGCCCTTCCAGGTTTCCTCCCTCTCCCCGCGGCCGCACGTTCCCCGTTGCGCACCGTGCCGGGCTCCTCACCCCGACCCCTCACAAGGGAGCGGGAGCGGAGCAGCAGAGCTGGGAAGGGGCTGCCTCGCCCCGTGGGCAGGTCCCCCGCTCACGGCTGGGGGGCACGGGGGCCGGGAGGAGGCAGGCAGCCCTCCTCTCCCCTCCCTTCCTTCCTCTCTCCACCCTCCCTTCCCTCCCCGTTACGCGGCGGTCGGGGGTGCCGCCTTACAGGTCGCAACCGCTCTCCGGTGAGCTCCCCGCGGCGCTGAGAGGAGCGGAGTGGCACGGAGCGGCCCCGGCCATGGTGCTGCGCGCCGCGGGGCTCATCGGCTGCTGCTGCTGCCTGCTGCGGCTCGTCCTCCCCGCAGCTCCAGGTAACGCCGAGGGAGGGCAGCGGGGAGGGCGGAGAGCTGCGGACACCACGACGATTGCCCCGGGAAGCGGCGCAGCCAGGGGTGGCGAGTTGGGAAAGTTTTGGGAGTTTGCCGGGGCTGGGAGGCGGGAGTCCTCCTGCAGTCTCCGGGGGCAGAGCCTTCCCCAGTGCTCGCTCCGGCTGGACGTGTTGGTGGTCTTTCGGACGCTTTTCCTTTGCATCCGGCTGAGTGCGTCTCTCCTGCCATTTGCGCAGGACGTCAGGGGCTAACGGTGATACTCCAGATGAACATTGCTCGATTCAAAGACTTGAAACAAACAAAAAAATGTACCTGAGACATCTTTAACTCACGTTATTCATGCATGAGTTAATGAAAAGGGTAAATTTCTTAAATCTTTTTTATCCCATGTACAGTTGAAATGAATTCAAAGCTTTCATTGTACATTGCATTAAACGAGATTTCTTTTTAACTAAAGGTACTTTTGTGTTTCAAGTAGCTTTGAAACAATGCATTTTGTGTGGCATGTTATGAAATTACATACATGATTCTGTTCTGAAATTTCCCTTTTAAAGGCGTGTATAGTGATTTTTCATGCACTTTGCATATGCTAAAGTGACTTTTCATTCTTTCACAGTTAATTCTTTATGTCATTTCACTTATGCTATAGGAACACTCAGCAACATACTTTAAGTTCATTTAAAATTTTGTTTCGCAAAAACACGTGTTTGAAGAAAGAAATCGGAGCATCATTAATTCTGGGTTCTTTTAAAACAGCAGTCATGTGTATAGAATGTGATACAATTTTTTTGTGGAGTGCTGGTTTTACTGGTTTGATGTGAGAAATCTTTCTTCCAGGCGTGAACTGTAAAACTGGCTGCCACCCAGAAAATGGATTTTGTGAATTTCCCAGTGAATGCAGGTAAAAATATTTGTCAGACAGGACTATTAGCACAGGAATGAATGGCTTCAATATTTATAGCCCTGGTAAAATAGACAGAATTTGAAATGATTTGTCATCTGAAAACATGGAAGTGTAATGAAACAGCACTCTATTAGGCGGCAGTAATTGGAACCATAGAGTATAGACATCTAGGTGCCTTTTTAGTCTACTTTTTCCAGTAAGGGAAGTCTTTACATTGATTAGCATTTATTTATTTATTTTCTCACTGAATGAAATTATTTTCTTCACATAAGCTGTTGCTAGTACCCAGAAGCATTGATGGTATCTTGTTCAAATGTGCTGCACAATCCAATTTTGTATCCAAATGTTTATTTATTGTGCCTTAAAAAGGGGAGCATCTTTGCAATGATGTTTATTAAAAATTATGCCTCTACCTTATCTTTTATCTCTTTCAGGTGTCAGCCTGGTTGGCAAGGTGCTCTTTGTAATCAGTGTGTTCCTTTTCCTGGGTGTTTGCACGGCAGCTGTGCCAAGCCCTGGCAGTGCATCTGTGAGGAGGGCTGGGTTGGCAGCCTCTGTGACATAGGTTTGCACATCGTTTCCTGTCCTTGAGCAAGTGAGGTGAAACAGCCCCATCTGGTGCTAGAGACAAGCTAAAGTCCTTCTGAATAACTGTTGGTACTAGATAATAGGGAGATTCTGGGCAGTGGCAGATAAACCCGGAACTTTGATAATAATTTAGACAGAAGCATGCAGTATCTTTTGTAACTGGTCATGCATGTGAGCAAAGTGTAGACTCCTCATTCCATTTTAAACAATGCTTATTGTGAGCAAGGCCAACAAATAACTGCTCCCTTGTCATATAAGCCATTTCTAGAAAAATACAAGTCGTAATACATTAAATAATTCAAAATATTTACCTAGCACATCTATCTATCTATCTATCTATCTATCTATCTATCCATCCATCCATCCATCCATCCATCCATCTGCTACTTTCTTAATACTTCTTGAAAGCATTGTGCTTATTTCTTCCTTTACTTAACCCAGTGATGATTCTGTGGAGTAGTATTAATATAACTGAGAAAAAGACCTTCCAGAACAGGCTGCCACTTCCTTGTGGCACCCTCCTTGTGAGGGGTAAGCAGAGCTCTTGTGTGCACTCTCTCACCCCTTCCCAGTCAGAATGGGCCAGCTAGCAGAAGCAAGCTGTAGAATTGGCCTCTGCTGAGCTGGCTTATTTTGACTGGCACATACAAATGTTCAGCCAAATGGATCTGAGGGAGCCAAAGCCACATGAGCATCCATGAGCATGTGCCTTTTCAGCCCACATAGCTGCAGCTAGAAGAGGACAGGTATCCCAGGCCTCATTCTCTTTTCATGTATTTCAGGCTTTTGTTGTAATACAGCATGTAATTTATAGAGCATGTCTGTGTTCTGCCAATGCATACCCAAAGCAGTAATTAAGGATAATGCAGTTTGAACTGGATAAAATTTTCAAAATGAATAAAAAGATTTCAGGTAGTTCACATGTTGCAGTGACATGGACCTTGGTGAAAGGTACTCAGGTACTCATTTAGCTACTCATCAGGCTTTGCAGCCTGTACTCACTGGCTGCACTCATAAGCATAGATAGGCTTCTTATTTAAAGCTAGCCCTGGTATATTTGCAGGAGCTGCTTTTGCATTTGTGCAGATGTGACTAAAACTTCTCAAGAGATGTTGCTCTGTGCACTTTCCACAAATGTGTTTTTACTCAGGAAAGCCACCTAGATTCTTTTTACAGCCAGTGAGGAAGAATGGGTCCTTCTGTGATCTACATAGATTCCTAAAACTAGACTGAAAATCCCTCCACTGCCACCTTAGGAGGCTCAGTTCTATTGCTTGGCAATAACTCCAAAGGACCAGGTTTTTAAAGGTACTGTCTTCACATCTAAATGTGAATGTATATTAATGAATGAATATTAAGGTTTTCAAGCTGGGCATGCTTTTAAAACCCATGAGTTTCTAGCTGGATTTTTAAGTACTAATATATCTTTGCAATTCTGAGTCTTGCAACTGGTATGTAGGATGCAAAGCAATGCTTTGGGAATTGTAGCCATATCTTCATGGAAAAATATTCAAATACATATTCATTAAGATAGTTATATTATACAAGCCAGGTACTTCAGAAACTTTATTTCTCTCAATGCTCAGAGTGATCTCAGTCTTTTTTGACAGTTTGAATCTAGATCCCCATGAAGAGCTGCCAAGAACATTCAGCCAAAATGAATAACCTTCTTTTCATCTGCAGGCACATATTATGTTGACAGTCTGTTATCTTAGTGGATTTGCCTACACTAAATGCATTATTTTGCCACAAGGGATCAAGAGACGGGCCCTCTTTTTTTTTTTTGCTACTGAAAGGTTGCTACAAGTTGTTATCCTGACCAAGTACTGGAACCTCAAATGAATTAATTGCTCAGCCACTGGTCCCTGCCAAACAGTTGATGTCAGTTTCCTGTATTAAATTATTTCAGATTTGCTGTTACCCATTAACAGATACCATTAAATGAAACTTGGGTTAGGAGGAAGGACGGGTTTTGAAGGCAGCTCCCCTTTTGGGGATCACTGGCATCACAGGTGCTTTTTTTTAAATATGGAAATACAAATCCATTAATTTCTTATCACAAAGTACTGTGTCTCCCTCTTCTAATACTGACTTCTTGTGTACAATGAGGGCAAGCCACAGCTGTTACATTTTTCACATGCCTATGATATTAAGTGCCATTTTTTAACTGTTGGAGACCATTTTTAGCTTTGGGTATGTAATGAGATAAGGTCTGTTAAAAAGCTACATTTGTGTTGTTTCTGTGGAGACTGATGAAGAGTTGTGAGTAATGCAGTTTTGGTACTCTCTTTAAATTCTTTTTTTTTTTTTTTCCTGCTATAGAACGTTTAATATTTGCGGTAAGTTTCCAGTATAGCCACTGGTTTAATGTTGCCAACTATAAGCAAATGCCAACTCACAAGAATGGCAAAACCCAGAAGGAAAACTCTAGGAAGGTCTGAAGTTCATTGTCGACTACTATAGATACCTGAAATGTTTGTAAAATACAGATACAGTTCAAGCAGCTTATTTGCTTGCTAAGCATAGGAGGAAAAAAGATAATTTGGACCAGTGGTGGTACCTCTTTTTCTGTTTTCTAGAACAGTTAATGTATGGTCTCCTTGGCTTGGATCATGGCATTTCCTTTCTGGAGTAGTTTTGAATCAGGAAGTAGTTTTGCTAATGCCTCTGACTGCGTAGCTGTTGTTTTTACTATGGACACGGGTTCTCAGTTCAGGTCAAGAATGACTTCCCCAGTAATTTAGAGGCCCACAGATTACAGGTTGAGCTTGATGCACTGTAAACATGTAGGGCAGTATCAGTGGTATCATTTATGACCATTATTGCAATTATGTGGACAGACTTTGCACTTAAAGAAAGAAATCTGTGAGTTGCTATTAGTATTAACACTGCTGGTTAACCTCCTTGCAGTGGAGTGCACCAGCCTGCCTAACTGAATGCCCTGGCATCTTCTCATCCTGTGGAAACACAGCTTTTAAATTGAGTATATAAACACCTGGAACCAGGCCGCACTACAGTATCTCTCTGCAGCTGACATATGCTATGCAGTACAAGGAACCACATCAAACATTGAATGAAAAAAAGGGAAAACCAATTTAGTCAATTTATTTCCAGGATAAAAAAACAGCCCAGTCAGAGTATGTGGTCCACCCTGCTAAATCAGATCAGTCATCTGTCATCTTGCCATCTCTGTGTCTGCACAGCCATGTTACTGGGCCTCTGACTTCCTGCATGAATCACATCCTCCATTTGGCTAAAAACACATGCGATGTGAGCTTGGAGTATACTGTGTTACATGTCACTTGACTTCTTTGCCTAAGACTGTAAATGACTTCTGACTTTGATGACTGTCACAAGGAGAGTACAGGTGGAGCCTCTAATGCCCGTACTAGGCATGTACGAGTCAGGATCTAGAAACTGCTGTGACGTAAACTACTACTGAGTCTGCCTTCCTTCCAGAAAGTGCTCAGTGATTGCATTATTTACTGCAGCATCATAATCTAGTTTTACACAAATATCACTTAATTTATTGGTAGTATGGTTGTGGCTATTCATAAATGTGTAAATGTGTCATCCTTTTTTTAAAATTCTCATCTCAGACTCAGTTACCACTTGAAGCAAGTAAATCACTTGGCTGTTGGCCTTTTGAGATGTAAATTTGATAAAAATGTATAAAACAGGCTATTTGAGGTTATTTATGTAGTATGTTTTAAAGAATTATGTTCCAACAAGTATCTAAGTTGTGTTTTAAAATTAAATCCTTGACATAAATTAGTGACAGTAATGTATGTGTGTATGTGTGTATATATACACACTATCCATATATTTCAAAAAGCTTCCTTGCTCCTGTGTCAGAATTCATGCTTTATTACCTGCCTTTAAAGCCTGTGAAAATAGGTAGCAAATAACACTGCTCCAAAAAGTATTCAAGGTTACTTTGGTCCTTTTGAAAATTGGAGCTTACATTCAAAGTGCATGGAAAGTGGTTGTTTTGCAATGAAAACAGGCTAATACATGAGAAAATAGAGCCTCTTATCCAGGGAAGATTATATTTAATAGCTAGGGCTGTTGAAATGTTTTGCTATGGTTAAAATTTTGCAGTACCTCTTGATACCATCTAAATTTCATGTTATGTTGTGGGAAGTAAAATACAAATGCCCTTAAATCCCTTTTCATCTTCTTAGAAAGTGTATGTGTGCACATGTTTGTGTGAGTCATGGATAACTTTCAGTAAGATCTTCTCTGCAGCTGCTCCATTAACCGGCTAAAATATGCACTTGTTTGTTTATTTATTTTTAATTATTTAAAAAAATCAGTAATAATTTGAGTGGGAAGTGGCTCAGCAGGGAAACTGTAAAGAAAATGAGATGTGTGACTTCGGGTCCAGGTGTCAAACAGCTTTCTCTTATGGTACAGTTATGTAAGGGCTTGATGCAGCCCAGCCAAAAGAGGAAATTTTTTTTCTGGAACTTGCTGATCTCTGTTATTATTAAATGATTGTTCATAAGCAGATAATGATAGGCTCTGGGCAGGGAGTGGGGAGAATTCCCAGTTCTGATTGCTTTATCAGAATTCTGCTCATGGGGAAGCCAAGGTTATGAAAGGATGACTAGAGTACATAGTTCTTTCTTTCTCCCATACTAATATTTTATTGATAATATTACTTATTTATAGACTGGAACAATTTGCAAGTGGGAGCTATGAAGAGAGAAACTGAAAGTGCTTGCAATAATAGTTGAACAATCTGAATTCCATTTTAACAGAGGGAGGAATAAATCAGAATTTATAAAATGCAGGATAAAGGACTGTTAAAGCTATACTGTGTTTGAAGTATTATAAACTATTTACTGACTCTTTCTCATTAGATTGAGGCCTGTTGTTTTTTCAAACAGATGTTCACCCATGTTCTGCAAAACCCTGCACCAATAACTCAACATGCATAGAAACTGGTGATGGAGGATATATTTGTCTGTGTGGCCAGGGATTTACAGGAAAAAACTGCCATCTCAAAAAAGGACCTTGCATTATTAATGGGTAAATATGAATTTAAAATACACACTCCTTATGACTATTATTCAGAATTCTTTGGTAAGTAGAAGTGTCTTTGTGCTAAAATATATAATACTGATATTTTTATCAAACTTTACAGATCTGATCTGTTCATATTGTAAAGATTTAAAGATTATCATTATTGTAAAGATTATGAGAGTTTGTGCGTAATTTTAGTACTCAAATGTACATTTTATTGTGGTGAATTTATACCTTCCCAAGATTTTTGTAAACAAACTTGAAGTAACCTCCCATCCTGTGTTCTCACCTCTAATGAAAGATAGCTGTACATACAAGCTATATATAGCAGTAAGAACAGTAACCAATGCACAAACTGTCTGCACAAAAACATCTAGTCTTCCAGTCTGCCATTTTTCTTAACTGACATGTAATGGTATGTCCATAGTTTACTGAAGGAGATAATCTTACTTCTACCGGAACAAGGATTGTGAGAGGCCATTGCTCTCCATTCTCTAAGTGGGACATTAGGGACAGTATTGCCAACAGGTTGAAGGAAGTGATGCTTCCCCTCTTCTCAGTCCTGGTCAGACATCTGTATTGCTGGGCCCAGTTCTGGTTTCCCCAGTATGAAAAGGACATGGACATACTGGAATGAGTCCAGTGAAGGGCTACAAAGATGATTAAGGAATGGGAACATCTCTTGTATGAAGCGAGACTGTGCGCTGGATTATTTAGCTTGGAGAAGAGCACTGGGAACTTACTCATATGTATAAATACTTGATGCAGAGAAGCCAAGAAGAGGGAGCCAAACTCTTCTTAGAGGTGTTCAGTGGAAGGACAAGAGACAACAGACACAGACTGAAAACTTTTCAGCAGTATTGCTGGTAGAACTGCTTGGTAAAAGGGTGAACTTTCTAAGTTAACGAAAATGTGAACTGGTGTTTTTGTTGAAGTCTAGAAGTATCTGCTGACTTCAAGCTCATCAAGGATCTGATCTCATAAGCATACAGAATGCCTTTCTGGTGGTTACAAGCTTGGTAAAACTGTCACCTTAAAATCACAGTTTTCTTTTTGGAGATAGCCTTCTTTCTCTTTAGGTCCATATTGGTGACCTCTGGTTCTCTTTTTGCTCACCGATCGATAATGATGAATATTCAGATCACCTTGTGACAAAATCTTCCTGAAGACTTGTACATTCTTGTTTAAGGAACATTATCACTTCTCTGTCTCTGGCAAGAATTGCCATTCTTGCAACTTTATGTCAGTGGAATATTTTTGCTATTTCTTTCAATTTTCACATAGTTCTGTTTAGGTTTACATTCAACCTCTAAGATAACAGCTCTGTTTTGCCTGTTTCTCTTCACTGACAATGAGAACATTTAAGTTTCTCACATGTGCGTTGAATCAGATCCAAGCTACCTGCCTAACACAGGGGCTGTGTTGCTTTCTCTACTTTTTATCTGTAAAGCAAATATTTCAGTAGTTCAACCAAGGCATATTTTAACTATCCAAAATAACAGGTGGGGTACAGCATCAATGAAATAACACAGATCAATTCCATGTAATTCCTTAAAATCCTTATCGTTTTAAACTGCTGAAATTACATTTTTGTTATGGTACTCTGCATCCAAAGTGACTGCTTATGAGCTAGTCTGGAAACAATGAACAATTTTTCTGAAGGAAACAACATACTTGAAACAGCAGTTAATTTTCTCTAGGATGCTGTGTCCATTTCAGGAAAATTAGCAGCAAGCTCTGCCAGTCTGCTTTTAGTGCAAAAAGTCAGCTGTTGTCAGTGTAAGCACTCTGTGTCTGCTAATACTTCACAGTCCACCAGAGAGCGCACCTCATATCCTGGAAAGAGACCTCATTTTTTGCCAGTTTATTCACATCTCCATCTCAGTTTCTCTCTACCTCAGATTGTAACAATGTTGATATTACTAAGCATTGTCCCTGGCTCCTCAGTGCATGTTTACAGATGGCGCAAAGACAATTCACAAATCAAAGTGTTTGTTCTAGTCTGTTTACAAAATCAGGCACATGATCCACATTAGTGACATCCCTGATGAAGTTTTGCTCTGAAAAAGATCAGCAAGTGGTACTTTCTAAAATGAAATCAGAGTATTCAGAAAGAAAAGAGGTGGTGCGCCCATGTTTCCACAACTGACATTTCATATACCACACCTTGTTGAACATGTGTTAAATGCCAAAAATGCATTTTTGCACAATCTAGTCAAGGAGATGAATATTACTAGTTTATTTATTTAAATATATGAAAATCAGGCAAATGCATCTCAGTGTTAATAATAAACAGAGTATTGAAATTCTACATAGTGCCCCTTAAGTGTTTTTACTTTAATTGTTTACTCTTCTGAAAGGTTTGGAAAAAAATTTTACACTTGCATTCTCCAGCAATTTCTTCCTATTTGCGTAGAAAGTACGGTAATTCAACCCACCCATAAGGGTTCAAACTTCTACACTTTGCCATATGCAAAGCAGCTTGTCAGATTTTCCATGGGACCTGTAAAGCAAAGAGAGGGTGCTTGACTCTCCAAGAAGGGCAGAACTGCTCATTTACTCAAGGGCTCTAGAACTACAATTTCCATATTTTGCTTAAAGCAGACACAGTGGCTAGTCATTGTGCTTGAATTCCTTGTTTGCATGATCACCTCAAGCTGTCACCAACAACTGCTATGTCAAAGTCCAGTGAAACCCACACCTTTTGCTTTCCTAATACTGCTTCCAGACTTCCAGTTTGTTCTTTCAGTAGCTTTTTTTCCCAGCCAACATCTACAATGAAGGACAATACAAAGAGGATTATCAGCAGTTTATATGAAAGCGTAAAAAAACAGGCAGATGAGTCACCTACCACAATATTAAGGCTCTTGTGATGGGTGGCCACCAAGTATTTCAGTCCCCAGTAAAGCCAAAGTTTCTTGGGGTGCTCTCTATCGTAGCTACCCCGGAGTATGAGGAAAAGTGTTGCTGTCAGAGAGGTTTGTCATAAGCTTTGCCAAGTGTTACTCATCTTTAAGTTTTATTATTAAGTTTTAAAGCTTTTCTCATATATGATGAGCTGCCATGAAAGTGGGTTTTGAGATTTATTTGTAAACTTGTGACCCAGGGTCCCTTTTCTGCCAACAGGGCCAGCTAAAGGACCAAGTCCACATTGCTCCACCGAATTGATGTTTGTACCTTTCTGTCAATGGGTGACCCTATCTTTGGCCTGTCACTCAGTAAGGTACAGTTACATTGCAAAGATAAAAAAAAAAGTTGTCTCAGTGAATTTACATCACTTAACACATAGTACCAGGCTATTAATTATTAAGTTCCTAAATGGTTTGCTGAAATACTTAACCACTCCTGTGGTTCTGCCCTCACATTACAGCTGCCTTTGCCAAGGTTGAAACTATCCCGCTTATATATTTTATTACATTTATCAAAATTTTTGGCTGAACAACAGTTTGCAGGAAAGTATGTTTGCTTCTAAATTTTTTGTGTCATGAAGCACTGGAGAAGCAAAAAAAAATTGATCAGCATTACATCTAGCAGCTATGGCAGAGTATTTTTCTTTGCCAATACAATGCATAGATTATTTTTTGAATAATCAGGTGGAAAACAAAGCCATGGTCCTAGTGTCTTTCTTCAGTTTTGTCTGAATAGTTGCTCAGTTAAATGGCTCTAAGCATATAAAAACAGTGGGAAGCTTAATTTGAATAAATATTTGAAATAATTTTAAATCCCTTCGCAGCTTTTCAGATCGAATTTATATACTGGTTTACTAATCCTGCCCGAAGGGTCGGCAGAAGATATTATAATCTGTTTTGACAAATCTGTTGAACAAACTCATTCTTGATTCAACTTCATTGACTTCAGTGGATTTGCATTTGGAATTGGCTCTTCTAAAGAAAAAAAGTCCCTTTTATTGCATAAAGTGTTTCGTAATAGCTTCTTTCATTGGACTTTAAATTCAGTTTTGTCTGTGTGGTTGTTATCTATTCTAGCTCTCCCTGCCAGAACGGAGGAACGTGTGTTGATGACAATGGTTTTGCACCCCATGCTTCCTGTCTGTGCCCTTCTGGTTTTGCTGGCAACTTCTGTGAAATAGATAGAGATGACTGTGAATCCAACCCGTGTGAAAATGAAGGAACATGTACAGATACTGGTGTGGGTTTCAGCTGTTTGTGTCCCCATGGCTATACAGGAAAGCGCTGCAGCAGCCGTGTCATTTTCTGTGCAAGTGGCCCGTGTGAGAATGGAGGGACATGCAGTGAACATCCCCATGGAGGATTCAAATGCATCTGTAAATCAGAATTCATTGGTGTGACCTGCAAACATCCCAGCAAAAACACAAGTCTTTCTGGAGCAAATACGGAGACAAAGTACATGCAGAATTACAAGCCGACCTCAAAAGCTCATCACAGATCAGTGCATCAACAAGAAATCCTGAAAATAACAATGAAAGAAACTATCCAAAATGCAGATCCCTTGCTGAGTAGAAGCCAGGTGATATGTTTTGTTGTACTGGGCTTGCTTACATGTCTTGTTGTCTTGGGTACAACTGGGATTGTGTTTTTTTCAAAATGCGAAATGTGGCTTGCTAATGCCAAATACAGTCATCTCCTACGCAAGAAAAAGAACTTTTTTCTGAAATCTAACAATGGGGAAAATCTTTCAGTTAATATTATATTCCCAGAAAAGATCAAATTGACTAATTATACTAAGAACTACACTGCCATTTAGGCCCTTGAAAGCCAAGCAGCAACTTGCAACTTTTCATAGCAATATGTAAAATAAATTGAATTTATTGCCCATGATTGGCCTCAGTATTTGTGCTGTAGCTTGTACTGAGTGATAATGAAAAAATATAGTGTATCTGTATTGCTAAGGATGTTTTCATTCCTCAAAATAAAAGGTAAAATAAAATAAATTTTTAAAAATATTAAGGAGCAGGGAATTGATTCTTTTCAAGGCAGCTATCGTTTGTAAAATATAAAGTAAAATCTACCACTAGAACTGTATTGCATCTTTCTTGTCTTGTGCAAAGTTTGTTGGCAAATACGGTACCTGTAAATTTTGCTTTTTTTAAATAAACAGCAGTTAAGGCCTATACTGGTTTATTTATTTATTTGTAAATGTTATGCCACAGCAAAGACCGCAACAAGTGTCCCTGCTTAATACTTCTGCTGTATGTGACAAAGACTTTAGAGACTGCAATCAACAGGAGCAAATTCACACCAATGTCTCAGCTATCCAGGCAGTTTTGCTATTTTTACATGCTCCTTTGATAGAATCTTACAGGTCTTTGTGATACTAATTTCAGGTTAAAGGTCTCTGTTGCTTGCCATGCTGCCTCCATGAATTGTTCTATTTGTCTATTTTAAAATGTTAAAAAGGTGTTTAATGTCTTTGGACAGACTTTCTGTTTAGAAACCTAGTAGAGATGTAAAGGATCTGATCCTGACTTTTCTATAAATACTCCTCAAAGAACTCTGCTGAGAGAAGTATCCTTCATGCCTGTGTCATAGGAAGAAATGAAAAGATAACATGTGCCACCTGAAATAGGACAGCTGATTTTAGTTCTTCATTTCTGCTTCTTCTCTGTCATACTTCAAAGAGAGAAGATTTTCAAGAATCAAAAGCAGCACTGGCAGAGAGGTAAAGGGTCATAGAATCATAGAATAGTTAGGGTTGAAAAGGACCTTAAGATCATCTAGTTCCAACCCCCCTGCCATGGGCAGGGACACCTCACACTAAACCATGCCACCCAAGGCTTCATCCAACCTGGCCTTGAACACTGCCAGGGATGGAGAATTCACAACTTCCCTGGGTAACCCATTCCAGTGCATCACGACCCTTACAGTAAAGAATTTCTTCCTTATATCCAATCTAAACTTCCCCTGTTTAAGTTTTAACCCATTACCCCTTGTCCTATCACTACAGTCCCTAATGAGCAGTCCCTCCCCAGCATCCCTATAGGCCCCCTTCAGATACTGGAAGGCTGCTATGAGGTCTCCACACAGCCTTCTCTTCTTCAGGCTGAACAGCTCCAATTTTCTCAGCCTGTCTTCATAGGGGAGGTGCTCCAGTCCCCTGATCATTCTCATGGCCCTCCTCTGGGCTTGTTCCAACAGTTCCATGTCCTTTTTATGTTGAGGACACCAGAACTGCACACAATACTCTAAGTGAGCTCTCACGAGAGCAGAGTGGAGGGGCAGGATCACCTCCTTTAACCTGCTGGTCATGTTCCTTTTGATGCAGCCCAGGATACGGTTGGCTTTCTGGGCTGCAAGCGCACACTGCCGGCTCGTGTTCGTTTTTTCATCAAAGCCAACAAAAATGTTAGGGCTCTGAGAGCATTAATAGGTCTTAACATCCCTGAGGAGCTTTACCTGGGGTGCTTTTCCACCACTACCCACAGGTCCATTTCAGGGCAGTCCAGGGCTAGATGTCCAGATCTGAACTATGCTGTGGGAATTCTGGTCTCCACTTCTGCATGGTGGGTAGAATTTAGACCTGAACCATAGTCAAGCTTTCTGCTGGATGGACCTTTTGGACTTATGCTCTGGCCCTGTCTCCTTTCACTTCCGATTGTAGCCCATGGATGGACCCTGGACCTGGTTCATCACTTGCATCTGGGTTAGTTGATGGACCCCATTACCAGCACCAGCTCTGGCGATGTGTCCTATGAGACTGTGCTGTTGGTGGGCCATGTCCCACCCTCAGGCATGACCCTCCAGGGTCTCCCAGCTTCCCTACTGGGCAACTTGATGCTTGCTGCTCCCTTAAAGAATAAATAATAAATAGCCCCCCAAATAACAATTTACTTCACCAGCCACCCTGAATAGGAATATTTAGCAGCTCCTAAGCTCCTGATAACTATGCTACTCCCAAATCCATTAACAGTTGCTCAAATTTGAAAATAAAAAAGCCTTAATGCACATACAGGTCATTACCCTAGGATTTTTTCTCTTGACATCTCTCTTAATTGCTGTAAGTATATAGCAAGTTTGCTTTATTGCTGATAATATTCACACATATCATAGCATTACAATCAAGTGCAAAGGTTAGAGCTAACACAAAAAATGGTGTTGAGATACTACTGTAGAAAGTGTTGACATCTAGCTAACAGGATTAAAATCTTAAAGGAAGCAGATGCTCTCTCTCAAAACTCTTGTTGAGGAGATAAATATTCATTAAATCCAGCAACTTTTCAACCAGTCATAGTGAAGATGACTAATGTAGAAATCCAGATGAAGGTAAAACCAGGCAAAGAGTGTTGAATTTGCAGCCATGAAACATGAACCACAGGAGTTTTACACATTTATGTATTTGAAACATGTAGCTCAGTATTGTATATTTTAATGCGATCTATTCTGTGATTAGAAGTATGTTAGGCTAAATTTAGAGACGATAAGAAACTGAACAACTCAATTGGGTAGCTTGCAACTGTGATAATAAACAAGCTACCACAGGAGATATCTGCTAGTAATCAGCGATTATATTCTAGACTCAGCTGAGCACCTACTCCCTCCCTATGAGCAAATGCTCCCTCAGCCCTTACAGCTTCTGGCCAGAGCAAGGTTTTGAATAACAAAGCTTCTGTTTAGAATAGAAAATCCAGAAAATTGTAATTCATATTTATAAACTGTCACATGATTTTTGGCCATGGTAATCTAGTTGGTAGTTCCTCCATCACAGTGCATTTCTTCATATGTAGACAGGAAAGCCTCTTTGAAGAGAAAGTCATTAGCTCAACATGATAAAAACCCACAGATTTCAGCTCCCAGTATCCTTTCTATCATTGGTGATGTCAGTGAACAGTAGAAAAGGCTTCTATACTCTCCAAAGAGAAAAAGTGTTATCATAAATACGAAGGGCTGGAAAAAAATGTATGAGTTTTCTCATATTTCTGTTGTTAGCATAGTGCATAGCTCTGAAGCCTCATCACCATGTAAGTGTCAGAGAAGTTAAACTTAAGAAGGCTGCAACATTTGAATCAGTAATCTGCAACAGGTCTCCAAAGCAAGAAGTTTAAGACAAGCAGAAACACGGACATAAAGCCAAAGAGAAGACAAAGCGCATTGATACCACTTCAATTTTGCATTTATTCTGTGTATTTTTTGTAAATGGACAGAAAACAATGTATGTATAATACCCACTGCCAGAGTTACCAACCTATGTTTCCATTTCTCACCTTTTTGATTTTTTAATGCTCTCCCTTAGTCAAGCAATGATGTCTTTGAGCCTCAAACCCCACCTCTGCCTTACTGCCTGTAAAAAAATAAGTAAATAAGGAAAACTAGGCTGAGGGAAGAACAAACAGGCTGAGGGATGGGTTTGAACAATGGTAGTGTTCGTTAAAGACAGTAGCTCCCTCTCTCTTGTCCCCAGGTTATGGGAGAATTTATCAAAAGTTATTTTTATTTTAAAAATTTCCCTCTGAGCCATCTTAGCCTCTTGAAGAGTCTTGTTAGTGTAACCCTGTTACACTAACAAAAAAAAAAAACCACAACAAAACCAAAGCAAAACCAAAACAAAACCAAAAACAAAGCAACAAAACAACAATAAAACCCACAGATGTTCCACAGAGGTCAAGCTTTTAGAGACAGGATGTATTTTTCTGGGTTTCTTTTTTGTTTGGTCATGGTGGGGGAGAGGTCTGTAGTGGAAAAGCAGAACACATAAAGAAATAGAAATTACCAAATTTTGGACAAGGATGTCTGAATAGAGAATATGTTCACAGCTTTTCTTTTTACTGCCATTCTTGATATCTGTCCATACACCAATAATGTATATATTGTTCTTGATTAATAAGGATTCTACTTGCAAGTACTAAAGCATCTGCTGTAGACATACCCATAACAGCCCAGCTAATCTGCTCTTCTGGGTTGATAACTTGAGTTCTGTTTTCAAAGAAATATTTAGGTCCAGATGGACCGTGGTATTCCTGCTTGAAACAGACTTTTAGCTTTGGAGGGTAAAGCAGTGTTAAGGCTGGCTTCAGGAGTATATACAGATGGTCACTGAAAACAGTGGTCCAGATTCCACTGCCTGAGTACAATACTTTTCATAACTATGTCCCTCCCTCTCCAAGTACACAAATTTGCCTGTGCCTTGGCAAAATTTATTTATCATCAAAGCCTTAAGGGCAAAACAATTTGCTACAGATAATGGACTAATTTATCTATCTATCTATCTATCATCTATCTATTTATTTATTTTTAGTCCAGGAATTTCCTGGCAGAACTATGTGCATACACATCCAGAACACACTAAATTATTACACATGTACTATACATGCACTGTTGATTCTCCAAAACACATCACATTTACTATGCGTTTCTTGTGAATGAGCCAAATCCTCCATTTCTGGATTTCACACAGCCTAGGAAAATATCCATTTCTGCCTGGCTTAGGTGAAAGAAGAGTCTTGAGAGAAGACTCTGGTTGCTCAACCCATACTGGAGCCAGTTCTTGAGGCCCACAAAGACAGGCCAGCTTTGTTGCATCTCTTTGGTCATTACATGAGATCAACCCAAATAAAACATACTGTGTATTAGATTTTGTTCTTAAAACATAAAGTAATATTTTGAAATTTCTTCCTAAATTCCTTGAAGCAAATGAGGACATGTTCCTTTTAAAACTTTGCAAGATGAGGGAAAAGACTATATAAAGAGGAGTATTTTAGTATCAAGTACAAACTGACTGTTGCTCTGGGACTTGAAGAAAACCGCTGACTTAGTTAATTTTGGTCACTGGCTCTAAAGCTCAAAAAAAGAAACTTTTTCTTCCATTTTGCTCCCCTATATATAAACTCGTCAAGATGTAGGATCTTTGCGGAAACTCATACCTGAGTCAGGGTCTCAGAGAAGTTCATGGGAACACAGTGCAGAGTCTAGTCCTTACCCTTAGCAATACAGACAAATTTTGCAGGCACAG